GACACACCCAACTGCCACGTTGTGTGTGTTGAATCTTCAGACCGCAACTGATCTTTGGTGGATCCGACTCTTTGATGTTTTGGATCAAGGGACTTTGCTGCGTTTTTTTGCCTCCCAAAGCTTATATATTTTTTCACAGGGGACCCTATCAGATGTGGCCGTGGCTCAAACCTGCAAAACACATATTCCAACGGTTGGGTTTCTTTTGGCTCCAAGTGCAGCTTCTCCCCAAGAGTGTTTCTAGATCTGACCAAACTATCAATGTAAATTGTTCCTAGATCCAGGGTGTTCTCAAAATTCCCCCCCCCCCCCCCCCGGCAAAAGAAAAAGGTTTTTTTTTGGATTCACCCCAGAAAGAGCATCCACTAGCAAACCCGGAAGTTCCTCTCGGCTCCCTTTCCAAGAAAGTAGTCTTCCAGAGGGGGGCTTGTTCACTAAGCCATGTTCGTCGGTGGAAGGGTACCAAGTCCACCCACATGTACTAGTCCCCTTCAAACGTCAAGCACGAGGAAATTTCGTTTTGCCAAGGCGATGTTCCGAAGCTCACCAAACCGGGCAGGTCCGACTGCCGGCTCTACTGGGCCGATGCGCCAAGGGCAAGGAGCCGCCGCAGCGACCCGGCGACTGAGGGGTCGTCCGGGAGCGTGGGTGTGGCTTGGCTTGCTTTGTTTTTCAGGTCCGAGCAAACGGTCCCAAATGTTTGTTTGGTTATGCCTTTGCATTAAATACATTTCTGTTCCTTTTGCCGATGTTCTTGGGATACTCTTTTATGACACACGCACATGCAAACGCACACACCACAAAACACGGTGCAGACCCCCAGAATTGTATGATTTTCCGCATTTGCCATGGGTGGTGGGCAAATGGGTGCTTCTTCACATTGGGGGGCCCCTTGAAATGACCGAAAGCGAGCCAGATCACTCGCAAAGGCAATGCGCCCGCCGTAAAAGCCGAAATGCCCACCTGCAGCCACATCCAATGATGAACATGGGGATGTGAGGGCGGATCGGTTCCCAAGCAGCGCCATCCTATGATGAACATACATAGCTATGTGGCTATGTGCCCCTAAAGTATGTGTGGGGATTTGCGGGGTCATATAGTTCTACAGGAAACCATTCGATCGAATGGAGAGTATGTTGGAGAGGCGGGTTTGTGAGAAGACACTCCAGATGGCTTCTTGTCCTTTTACCCTCCCATGGAAGCTGACTGGCCATCCCTTTCAGCAGAACGAAAAGGTCCTCCAGGAACCTTCAGTCAGGCTCCTCGTTAGCGCAAGGAAGGGTATGAGATACAAACTGGTCGGAGTCAACTATTGTGTTCATGTGAGGATGTACCTCTTTTTCGGGTATATATGCTCCTAGGACACGCAAATGAAGTCGAGCTTTTAACCACTTCACCAGCTGAATACTACCATTTGGCCAAGATCTCCAGATCTATGGCCCTGGTCTTGCGGCCCAAGCCAGGGCCATCTGAAACCTGAGGCGCGGCTGTCGGCCACGGGGACTTCTTGGGCTCCAGGGTCTGCGAGGTGACCGCTGAGGCAGCGGGGCAGGTCGGGGGCAACAAGTTGGGACACGCGACCCAAGTCACATGTCCCATCTACTTGTACCCCCATTTGTACCCCACACATACCTTTAAACTTTAATTCATGTAATATATATATATATATATATACACATACATACATGTATATTTTGTTTTATGTATATGCATTGATATTCCCATATACCCCTTCTGTTCCTCTGATATTATACCCTACATAAGTTGATACCACAATTTTAGAGGGACCATATTGTTGACAAACAAAATAATGGACTGCTTTTGCTATGCTTTGCCAAAACCCTGGCGTCCCAAGTTAACGTTGGAAGTTTATGGGCCCTTGGTGTTGGAATGACCAGAAGCCTGTGCTACCTTTTGTGAATGCCAGCAACATTGAAAGCGGGGAGCGGAGCTGCAACCCTCGCTTGCAAGGCGCTGCGCTGATCACAGCAATAAACACTGCATAAAGCACTAACTACATTGAACACAACATTGAAAAGTTCATAGAGCACTGCCACAATTCCCTAAAGCCCGCGTTTCAGCTCTGCCCTTGTTTCCCGTTTAGAAACTCGGGAGTGTCTCCAAGGCTTTTTTGCACGGGTTTGGCGGTGTTCAATGTAGTGCTCCATGTATTGTTTAATGAGTGTTCAGCCACTAGCCGCTGGATTTTTTGTTGAAGTTGCAAGTTGCATTGCTTTCCTATATTTGAGTCGGTTGCTAGCCGGTGCATTACCAATGAACCAACGCTGACAAACCGTTGACAGGGCTAACGTGACAAATCATTACTGTGTGGTTGGGGCACACCCCTAAGCGCACGTAGTTTTGACCCTTGAGTTCGGGGCGTTCTTGGGGTGGTTCATAGGGGTCTGTTTGGGTTGACACAGACGGAATTCCACTGCTTTCAGCTTGGTTTAACTCGTTGACCATTGCCATCCCTTGGTCCAGCAGCAGGGAATGAATCTTGGGCAATTTCTTGGGCCTTTTTTGGAATGGCAAAATAAGATCCAAGCGCTTTCATTCCGCTTAAGGGGGCCTTCCTGGATTTGGCAGCAGGGTTGTAGCCAGAAGTTTCTGTTCAAAACCCTTTGATGCCCGACCCATGATAAGAAGCTTGCTCCGCAACATGCATGCCCAGCTTCAATAAGGACCCTTCTCCCCAAAAGGTTCGTACACATAACTCATTCATGTAAATGCGGCCGGGTGTGGCCGCCAAGGCGTTTCATTTTGATGTTATATAATATCAATTTCTCCGCAGCAACACACAACAACATACACACACATACAGACGGGCCTGCTTCCGAATAAGATATGGAATCCCCCAAATTGGTTTTCCTTTGGTCTCCATTTCAACCCTTAAACAAGTTGCCCTCGACAGAAAGACAGACCCACAGAAGGGGGCCAGCCCAATGCGAGAGTCTTGTCCCCTCATAGGGCGAAGCAGCCTCACACAGGTCAAGCCAGTGCAAACCCCGCGGGCGCAGGCAGGGGCCAGCATGAAAGGCTTCCGGGGTTCGCAAGGATGCCAAGGCGTTTTGTTTGCGATTTGAATGTTCGGACTCCTGGTCTTGCATGGTCAGGCCCGTCTTAGAGTCGAAGGCTCTTTTTTTGTTTGGAGCGGTAAGGATACCACCAACCAGAAGCCAGCCATGTGGAATGGCTTCGATATGCAGATTTCTGGTTGTTGTCTAAGACTTCCCTTGTTTTGATCCTTTGTACTGTGAATGGAACCTGAGTGGGGGGCCTTCCGTAAAGCCAGTACGGTGAAGCTGGGGCCCGAGCCAGCCATATTGACGTGGCTCAAGAGTCACTCGTTGCTCCAGGTGATGTGGTCGAAACAGCTTTCGGGCCACAAATCTCTTCGGGGTTTCTCAAAATAAGCTGGTTTAGTTGGTCTTGTCATGGCAAATCAACCCATTCGTTTTGATTCACTTTTTGGTTGCCAATGTGACTTGCATTCTCCTTTTGGTGGGGTGGTGCTTAAAGGTGAACTACGCGTGTTTATCAAATTGGCGACCCCTCAAAAATGCTTGGGTTCATTTTGATTTCCATTCAAGCCGTACCAAAGAGCGCTCCCTACTTTTAGACAGACCCTTTGAAGTCTTAAGTCTTACCTCTCAGAGGCTTATCCCAGTTTTCAGTTTTCGGGCGCCACTGCTACCGCCATTACCGTCTGCATGGGCGAGCGGGTGGTGCCGCAGTTGCTGCGGCTAGCATGGCCCTCAGTGGCGGCACTGCTGTTAGAGCAGGCGCGGGGGGCGGGCGAGCCCCGAGCCCTCCACCTTACCTCTTGCTTTTGTCTTTCATACGGCTTTTCTCTTTCTTCTCTCTCATGCTTCCCTCTTCTCCTTGTCCTCTCTGGTCTTTCCAAGGGACCTAAACTGGGCAGCATCATAGGACAATAAGCTGTGCAGTAGCTTTTGCCCCTCACATAACAAATTTGAGCAGAACAAACGATGTGGCTTTGGATCAAAACCAATGGTACCATTTTTTGGGGTAGGATCGGGATGTTCACTGGGGGTACGATTTGGATTTTGACCCATGGCCATGTGGCCAGGCCACCTCAGTGACCACGATCTTCTTCGTGGCGGCGCTCGATGACGAGTACCTTCTGGGCTCTGCCGCCCGCCCACAAAGACGCACACGCACACGCATGGGTATGTGTCACAATAGGGAGACCCAAGCCATGTTTGTTGGTGGAGGATAGTAGGAGCGATTTCGGGTTCAAGGACCGGTTAGGGGACAGGCATCAAAACACCTGTTAAGCAATCAAGAGGAACAACATATTAGGCATCCATCCACAGATTCGGCATCAATAGGCGCTCATGACACACTGCATATTGTGCTGTGGGGCACATGAGATGACACAATGAGCCGAACAACAACTCACTAGCAAGGAGGGATTTGAAGAAAGGAAGGAATTCTGGAAAGCAGGGAAGGCAGAGGAAGGCAGGAAGGCAGGAAGGCAGGAAGGCAGGACATAAGGAAATTAGGAAATCAGGACATAAGAAAGTAAGTGCAAGGCCGTTGCAGCATCTAGGTAAGATGCATTTATTGTCACCCAAACGTAGCAACCTGGGCGCATGTCAAAATGAGCGGCAGTGCCAAACGGTTGGTTTCCTCGCGGGCTTCCCACTCGGCAATTGGTCTTTGCAGTTGGTGGCTATTAAGTATTGGTTGGGACAGGTTGGTGAACATGATTCCCCTTGCGAGTCACTTTTTATTGGTAGTCTGCAGTTGGTTTGGAAAGGACATGGACGAAGACCAGTGGCTAAGACGACCCATTTTGCCGTGCCCTTCTTAGGGGGCAACTGCTCCCTGATGTCCCCAACGGGTCCAACCAGATGTTCGTAAGGGGCTAAAGATTACGCACGCACGCACAAACAATTATGATCATGTAAGGAGCCATGGCCTAACAGTACCCCTTCCAACTATTAAGCCCTGCCCAGGTGGGTCTGGGTGTCATGGCGCAGAACGTTTTTGGCTTCAGCCTGGGTGTGGGCGTGAACAGCGCGCTGAACACGCTGGTCTCACAGAGCCGAGGCCGGGGCAGTTGGGCGGTGGGGCGGTGGGACGGTGGGGCGGTTGGGCGATTGGGCGATTGGGTTTTATCGCTTGCTTGGCGCAGAGTGGTGGTGTCGAAACGATGAAATCTCTTGCGGTGCTATTCTGATGGTGTCCTGGAAAATATGTTGCCTCGAACCGGGTGGCTTCATTTTGTTTTTGTAACCTTAAGCATGTTGCCTCAAAAACGGCAGAACCGTAAAGCCACAGTTGAATGGCGGCTTGACAAAATGGCGAACCGTTTCGGGGACCGGCTTAAAGGTACCCACCATATTTTGCTTCCAAGAAGGACTCCTTTTCTTGATTCTTATCTATTTGCGCTCGAGGAAAATGGACATTCTTCTCAGCCTGGGTATGATACAGGGAGCATCCGTTTTGGGGGCTCCCTTGTAAGACCAGTTAGCTTTGGGCCATGTTGCAAGCGAAGAATGTTGCCCCCTTCGGGTCAACAGGCTTTGGGCCGATGCATCCCCACTCGCCAGGCGCGGGGCGCCTGGACCTCTGCCGCCTCTCCCTGCAACAAGCGCAGGTCTTGTGCTTCCTGGTGGCGGTGCCCAGCATGCCGCCCGATGGAAACGGGTCTGGGGTCCATTGGAAGCCGAGGCAAACAAGGCCCGCCTTCAAAAGGGAAAAGCAAAGGATGTTTAAACGTGGGTTGTGAAACATGTAGCAGGTGGTTGGCCCAAGCCTGAGCCCGAGTTTTTGTCGGCCGGCTTTCCTTCATCCTCTCGGTTCTTGATTGGGGGGGGATACGGGATTTGGTTGCATTTATGGCTCAGATGTCGAATGCTCAAGAACGCTTTTCACGTTTCTTTTTGTCTCCCAGGTTGGAGACTCAAGTTTCCCATGAAGTCGCGTCCAAGTTTCATCGCCAGTCCCTGGGATGATGCAAGAAGGGAACCGTGATTTGAAGGGTAAAGGTCAGGAATGGAGACTCGAGATGTTTGCAATGGTTTGAATGTCAAGAGTTATCCATTTGCGCGCAAATTAAAGCTCACCTGGAGGGTAAAACGAGCTGACCCGCGACCGCGCCTTGAGGATTCCTTATGCCCAGTTTGTGAGTTATAGTCAATCGCCGGGGTAAAAGGAGTTCATCCAGGATGAAGGTTCCTGTGCTTGGGAACTCCTTGCTCAACGTTCCCCGAAATCCATCCACCTGTTGTCGTCGGCTTTTTTCTGAGCGATCGGAGGTTTTTCATGTGGAATGCCGGGGGCTTCTTCCGCCTGGTGGGCATCAACCCCCGCACGGCCCAGGCAGGGCGGGGCTTTCTGGAAGTGATGGATGTGGGCTGTTCAAAGACAATGCGAGATCCGGCCTTTGATTGCGGTATGGCCTTTTCAATCGACTTGACAAAAAAGGATGAATATGTATATATACATATACATATATATATATATATGTACATATATATATATATATATACACATGTGAATAAATATACACACCTGAACATGCGTGTATACATATAAAATGATTTGTATTGAGTTTTACTTTGATTTCCCTCCTTGCTGCAAACTTCCTAGTGTCTCAATTTCCCAAGTGCCGCAGCCATGCCTGAATCTCAAGCAACAGACACGGCTTTTCACTTTAGATTCATAGAGCATTTGATGCTGAACCTTTGCCCGCACGTTAGAAGCCTCCCCCACTCCCCGCTACCCTTCTAGGAACTTTTCTGGAGGGTGCGGGGGCAGAGGCTCTGCTCTTTGCTTTCCTCCCAGTTTGGACTCCTCCCCAAAAGCTCAAGGCGCTAACTGGCTGCTCCTCCCAGGACGCTGGGGAGTTTGTGCAGGGCGCCGTCTTCGTGACGCCTTTTCACTTCTTGGCATGCGCCACCAGGTCGTTCCTGCGGGCGCTGAAGCTGCCGAGGCCCGTCTTTTACGTGTGCCGCGGCTGCAACCGGAAGAAGGGGTGGCCCCTTTTTGTGTGCCGGTGGGATTTGACTTTGAGCGTTCTTGTCCCATGGATTTCCGTGTGAAAGGCGAAACCCGTGCGTTCTAATTGCCTTTTTCCTTCTGTGGCTAGTTTTTCTCTGTGAGCCAAGAGGGGGGATGACTTTTTGTTGACGCAGTGAAGCTTAGTAGGGGAATGTCCGAACCAGAACAGGTGCTGCCGTCCTCTTGATTCTTTGCATAGTTTGGGGTCGACCTCTTTGATACCAGGTTTTGATCACGACTCACGTCTGTAAGGAGTGCGCTAGTGGCTCTGTGCCATCCCATCTGGTGCTACATCCTGGTGCACTGCCTCAAGCAGGAGCGGGGGTTGCGACTCACAGCCTCTCAGCTTCCGGTGTTGCCTGGGTGGTGCTTTGGTTTCCCTTTGTTTTTCTGTTTGGTTGGAGTTGGTTCCCCTCAGATGTGGCTTTCATGTGGGTTGGCTGTAAACCAAAAATCAGACATACCCGCTTTTACTTTCGGTTCCATGGGAGCTTTAGACTCGCAACAAAAAGGATAGTGGGAATTATGCTTGGTCCGAGGACTTCTGTGATCGAATCCATTCGTCCTATTTTTTGAGCCTCCCCCCCTCCCCAACCATTTGCCATGGGTCAAAAGCACGGGTCCGAATGATTGGCGGAAAGAAGCGGGAATGCTGCTGATCCTATTCCATCGTGCATTTTTTGCGTGATGAGATGGGAGAAAGAGCAGTGCCCCGCCCAAAACAGCTGATGAACCTAGTCTGAGCTTGGTGATACAGATGGTCTGATCGTTGCTTGTTGGACTCTAGGTCTATGTTGGTCCGCATTTGAAGGGCGTTGCAAAGAGGATTGTAAACAGGTCTCTCATGAGTATCAACCATGACCGTCTTGCTTACGATTTGCTTTGTTTTTCAGGCGCCTTTTTGAGGGTCGGTTTGGGCACAAGCTGTGCTGTTCCCCAGGCAGAAACCACCCGTGGAACACTCCTTTCAGAGACAGCGCCAAACAACCAGGTTCTGTTTGTCAGTTTTCTTCGTCGACTTTTTTGTTGTTCCTCCTGCTGTTGAGTTGTGTTTCTGTTGGGTTCTGCTTGCCTTGTTCGCTGTTTTTCCCCTTGTGCTTTTCGGTTTGCGGGCGAGGGCGCCTTCGGCGCGGGGCTTTGCGTGACGGTCTCCAACTCGCTGAACTTTCTGCCGCTGGGACGTGGGAAGGGCCGAATGACATCCCTTCGACCCCAAAACGCAGATGCGGATCTGTCTCAAACCTGTGGAACCCATGACAATTCCCTGAAAACCAAAACGGGTAAGAGACAAGGTACTCTTTTTTCAGTCTTGGTCCACCATTTCGGGCCTCCCCAACTTGAGGCTTCTCACCACGTATGTGGCCATCTTCCAGCCGGGTGATTCCAAGAACGCCTGGTGCGTTCTGCCCTGGGACCTGTGCCGAGAAGTTGCCACTTTTCGCCGGCCGGCGCCACTCGTCAGGAGCAGGGAACCCATTTGCAACCTTTTGCACAGTTCATTTGCAATAGACTTCTTGAGCAATGGAAGAGCCCTATGAGGGCTGGATGTCCAGCGACTCGAGTCAAATTGAATGACTTTAAAGTGGACGGGATTCAGTATTTCTCCTAGAAGCCAGGAGCGTTTCAGGAACCTGCCTCAAAACCAACGTGTGCCCAGGATTGGCGAAGTCTGTTGCCGTTGAAGGAAAACAGTGCATCTTCAATCCTAGGCAGATGCATTTTTCACTTTCTATTCTCTATCCACATATTGGCATGTGTACACACAAGCACACATATCTTAGTGTGTATATATCTGTATACAGTACATGTACATGCTTATGCATATTCCTACAGATCAACATGTTTTTTTCCCGAAAGCATGGCGAAGGGTTCTTCCGCTGGGTTCACTTGAGTTGTTCTCATGAGAGTCATTACAAGGTGTCATTGCAAGGAATCATCATCATGAAAGTCATTGCAAGGAGTCATTGCAAGGAGTCATTGCAAGGAGTCATTGCAAGGAGTCATTGCAAGGAGTCATTGCAAGGAGTCATTGCAAGGAGTCATTGCAAGGAGTCATTGCAAGGAGTCATTGCAAGGAGTCATTGCAAGGAGTCATTGCAAGGAGTCAAGGAGTCATTGCAAGGAGTCATTGCAAGGAGTCATTGCAAGGAGTCATTGCAAGGAGTCATTGCAAGGAGTCATTGCAAGGAGTCATTGCAAGGAGTCATTTGCAAGGAGTCATTGCAAGGAGTCATTGCAAGGAGTCATGGCAAGGAACTTGCAACTTGCACTTGACTCCTTGCACTTGCAACTTGCACTTGACTCCATGCACTTGCAACTTGCACTTGACTCCATGCACTTGGCTCCTTGCACTTGGCTCCTTGCACTTGCAACTTGCACTTAACTCCGTGCACTTGCACTTGCTCCTTGCATGACTCCTTGCAATGATGACTCCTTGCAATGACTCCTTGCAATGACTCCTTGCAATGACTCCTTGCCATGACTCCTTGCAATGACTCCTTGCAATGACTCCTTGCAATGACTCCTTGAAACAAGCAAGGAGTCAAGTGCAAGTTGCAAGTGCAAGGAGTCAAGTGCAATTGACTTGCGAGGAGTTAAAATCTCTTCTTAGGGCGGCGGGGTAGTGCCGACGACACTACACGAAAATCGACCCTCTGCGGGGATCGGCGTGGTCGAGGTGCAAAAACCCATGGTTTTTTCCGATTTCCAACATGCCCGCGCGACCTTCTGCGGGGATCGGCGTGGTCGAGGTGCAAAAACCCAACATGCCCGCGCCTGCAAAAATCGTCAAAACCCATGGTTTTTGCGTGCTCGCGCAACCCTCTGCGGGGATCGGCGCGGTCGAGGTGCAAAAACTCGAGGTTTTTTGCGATTTCTGCGGTGCTCGCGCAACCCTCTGCCGGAATCGGCGTGGTCGAGGTGCAAAAACTCGAGGTTTTTTGCGACTTTTGTTGTTCGAACTGGTCCTCGGGAGTTGTCTCGTGGCTCGCGCGCCTGCTCCCGGAACCGGCGGGTCCCGGGTTCGATTCCTCCCTGGTCCGCGGGCGGGCGTCGCAAGATGCAACTTGCATGTGAAAGCAACTTGCGCAGAGCAACTTGCGCAGACCAACTTGCACCGACCAGTTTGCGCAGAGCGCCTTGCCTAGAGCAACTTGCGCAGAGCAACTTACGCAGAGCAACTTGCGCAGAGCAACTTGCACAGAGCAGCTTGCACAGAGCAACTTGCAGGGAGCGCAAATTTGCACAGAGCAAATTGCAGGGAGCCACTTGCAGGGACCAACTTGCCGGAGCAACTTGCGCGGAGCAACTTGCGCAGAGCAACTTGCACAGTGCAACTTGCGTAGAGCAACTTGCGTAGAGCAACTTGCGCAGACCAACTTGTACCGACCAGTTTGCGCAGAGCACCTTGCCTGGTGCTGTCTCGCGCTTGCTTCACAAATGCTTTGTGTAGGGATGCAGCGTTGGGCCGACCTCGCTTGCGATGTTCTTGTTTCGGGCCAACCGTGGTCTAGTTTCTTTTGGTTTCCTTTGAAACCAAGGTAATGAAAGGAGTACCAACTCCAAAGCACCCACCTTCGCATCTCTAAGTCATAACGCAGGGGAAAGCAGCTTCAATGCGCATGTAGTGGCCCTTAGTGGCTCTTTATGCGTATCCCATGGAATCCCTGGGTTGCCCCCGGTTTGTGGATGGACACCATCGACCGTCCAGCCCTTTGCAATTCCAGGCCGGCGCCGAGCGACTGCGCTTCGCCGTCCGGCGACTTGGCGGAGCAGAGCTTCCGCGCGTATCTGCGAGTGGCGGTGCCCTCAGCGCTGCTGCTGTGGTCGGAGTGGTGGGTCTACGAGGCCATGGCTCTGCTGGCAGGTCGGGCGCTTGGGCGATGGGCGAGGTGGTGGGCTGGTGGGATGTGTGGCCGGAGCAGATGTCACGGTGTATAGGTTCCGGCGCCTTGGGGAACTTAGGCAATGGTTGACCGAAGTTTGTGATCGATTTGGGAGGGGCATGGGGCGACTGACTAGAGGATGGGATTCAAAGGGCTATGTTTTGTCTCGAAATTGGACAGGGAACCTCGATTGAAACAATCATCGCTACGAATTGCAGTTTGTTTACCAGCCCAGAGGCCCACCCAAGCGAAGAAAGGCTTTCTTCATTTCTGGGAGATGGTTTGAAGAGAAGCCCCAAAAGGCCGGCCATGAAGCAAATTTTGTGTCCAAAGCATGCCGAAGTCGTAGCGCACGCCTAGGCCTGTGCGGGAAGACGGGGCTGGCGGCGCACACGGCCACCAGCAACACGCTCTCCGTGATCTTCATGGTGCCCTCGGGCCTGGGAAGCGCGACTAGCGCCATGGTGGGCCACGCCATCGGCGAAGGCAAGGGGGGAACCGGGGCGGGGGGGTGGTGTTGGGGAGAGATCTGCGAAAGAGGAAAACCGGGTAAACACCTCTTCCTAACAACAAGGCTGTTTTTCTTTTTGGACTTTTCGTTACAGCAACCCCACAAGGGTGCGCGGCAGATTCATGGCCTCAAGCTTTCGAGGCAGCAGCGATGCGGCCAGGGCTGTGCTGCGGGCGGCGTGTCAGGTGATGCTGGGCCTGTGCCTGCCAGCATCTCGCCAACGACCTGAGTCGAACTGTTCCGTTTGGGGCCTGGGGTCTTGGGGGCGGGTAGATTTCCTCATTCCGTCACCCCTGACCCGCGGGTGATCATTGTTGTGCGAAGTTGTTTTTTGGGGAATTCCACTTTCTGTGATACCAAGGAAGTCCCCTTAGCGACGAAGTAGTCGTGGGGTTATACCGCAGATCGGTATCTCAGACAGGCATCAACCATGCTTCGGGCGCTGTTTTACCGGAAGGGTTTTTGATCCCAACAATAGCTTCCTTGAACAAAGGGATGATCAATTTTACGCAGTTTTCTTTCGGTGTGATTCGCAGCAGGTTCCATGGAAGCTTCGGGATGAAACATTTGCCAGTGCTGTTCGGGATGCTACTTGGGTCTTCTCTCCCAGGAGAGGGAAGCCAACCAGGAACGTGGGGACCCCCACAAAGCCGATTGAGACCATTTGCGCCTTTGGGCGCCATTGGGGTTCTGGGGCCTGGAAGGGGGCCTCGAACCGATCCGGGCCGTTCGCTCGCAGATGTGGCTGGCGGTGCAGCTGGGCCGCTCGTGGGTGGCGCGGTTGTACAGCTCCGACCCGGAAGTCGTGGCCACCATGGAGGCGCTCTTCGTGGTGCTAGGCGAGGTCTGGCGCGTTTGGGGCGCTTGGGGCGCTTGGGGCGTTTGAGCAAAAGGCCTCTTCGTTGGGGTTAGATGCCTTAGGGTGCCTTGCCGGGTATCATCATCATCATCATCATCATCATCATCATCATCATCATCATCATCATCATCATCACCACCATCACCATCATCATGACATGTTGTCATAATCATTTTCATAGTCATGATCATCATGCCTATCCTCATCCTTCTCATTATCCTCATCCTCATTATGATTTGCTTTGCACATTACCAAAGAACAGCAGTGGTATTGGTTTAGGTGCAGGGCAATACTGGTTCTGGGCTGTTGAGTTTTGTTGGGCATGCAGATACGGGGTTGCGTTGCAAGCAGTGATGATGATGGAGTTCTGCATACCCAACTGACTTGCGGTTTGGAGTAAGACCTTCTGCCATGGCCTCTCTCCCTTCTCCCTCCCCTGAAAGTCGCCGTGTTTGTCTCGAAACCGGGACCTGCCGCCCAAATATATATATATATATATATATATATATAATATACATAATATACATACGCAGGTTTTCTCTTGGCTCAGGTTGAAACAATCCCCAAAAGGGGGTCTCCCTTTAATAAGACACCCCCCCTCCCTTCAGACGTTTTTCGCTGGTCGCCGTTGTTTGGGTGCGTTTCGCAGGGGTTTTCCAACTCTTCGATGGGCTGCAGACGGTGCTGGAGGCTCAGCGGGCAAGGGACCAGGGAAGGCATTTGAAGCAACCCTCATGTCACATGATACCCACTTTGTTCCGTGGCAATAGCCAGGCTGCCAACCTAAAAACCGTGGCTCGGTGCACCACTTCTTGCAGATGGGTGCTCTCAATATGAATCCTTTTTGCTGGAGGTTGCCTCACAGCTCATTTTGTTGGAGGTGAACCTATTTTGCAAGACCAAGGAACATGCTTTTTGGCAGCCAGGGGCCAGGCTAAGCTGTTTTGAAACCCAGCGCCTTTCATATGGATTTGCCCGATTTGCCCGATTTGCCCATTTTGGGCCTCGTTTCGCTTCATGCTCCCTCCACAATTTTGGCTGGACTGGCAAGACCCTGGTCCTGCGAAAAGGGAAACCTAAAGTTTGTGGTTGGCCAACTCCGGAACCAACTGCAGAGCAGCGAACCCTGGCACCACCCCAAAACGGGGGGACGGGACAAGAACCTTCCGCCCCGTCCTTATCTTCTTGCTAATTCTGCAAGTGGCTAAAGCTCTGCCGCGCCGTTTTTCGCCAGTCCATCGACGGCCAGGGGGGCCTGATTGGCCTCGGCCTGCAGCGCCCGGCGAGCCGCGTGAAGCTGGGGACCATGGTGCTGGTGCGCCTGCTGGGCGCCTACGTGCCTCGAAATGCCGGATGCGGAGGCGGACAGACGAGCCCAACAAACTCCTGGGCCTTTTGTTCGTTTTTGGGGAAGAAGGTTATTTGGGGCCCAGAGACGGTTGGTTTTCCGAGAGCAAAGGGTATGGGGGAGGGGGGGCCGTGTGATGGGGGGCGGGTCGTTTGGTGGAGACCCCCCCCTACAAATGATGTTCACCAGGTGCTTTTGGATGCTTTTCCTTGCGCATGATTGGTTTTACAGCAAAAACGCGGCCTTTGGCGAAAGCCAGTGCTTGTCCGATTGCGGCTGCTTTACGTTTCCCGTTGAACACCATCAGGGCCCCTTTTGTGATAACATTTGAAAGGGAGACCAAATTGAGATCATTCACGGATCAAGTGGAATGCACCGCGAGGCTTCGCGAAAAAGAACTTAACAAAAAGGAGTCTCTGGTTGGGCGCATGGCAAAGCTACCTGCCATTGCAAATTGTGTCATGTTGTTTCCAGTTTTCAAGCAGTCTTGAAGGGTCCCCGTGGGTGTCAAAACCCCAAAATGTACCCTTTGTTTCCTTTGCAAACCCGACCAAAAGGGGTTGCCAACTTCAGGAAGGACACTCTTGAGGGCTCGCCGAGGCGAGACAAAGTCGTCGGGCTTCCCACTCAGAAAGGTCGATCTGAACCCGTTGAATGTTCCTTCCGAACCTTTTTTGGGGTAGAAACTTGTCACAAGCGAAGAATCAATGAACAGAAGCATATATTTTCTGCTTCCTCCCGTGCCAAGGTTCTTTCCCAGCCTCTACATTGGGGCGTGATGGGCATTTGGGTTGCCGGCACTGCTGGCATGGTAGTGACCGCCGCTCGGCCTTTGTCAATTGGCGGAACAATAATGAGTCAGAATGCGTCTCAGTCTCACCGATCGACCAACTGGTTCTTTACGAGGAGATTCGTTCGTGAACTATGCCCAGAGGATGCCACCGCAAAAAGGTGTGTCTCGGAAACAAGGGAGCGACTTGAAACACTGCATTTTGGAAGACCCCCAGTGGGTTTCATTGATGGCTTTTGCTGCAATGTTAGGGGGTGGAGACTGCCCTCAACTCCAAAGCAGCGCTGACTCACACCACCAAATACGTGTGAGTGGGTTTCAGGACGCACACCAACCACTTGAATTTGAAGGTTTGCGTGGCACAACATTTTTCTCAAAAGGCTATGGAGGAGTTTACTGGAAGAAAGGGCTCAACTGGCACGTGTAGTTTTTGGACCTGGGGCAATTGGCTTGACAAGACTGACGCGGCCTGCATGCTGCGTTCCGCGCAAATTTCCACAAGCACCCGGAGATAGAAGAAGATAAAACAAAGTCACCCATAATTAATAATGACGGTTCCGTATTTTTTGGCCTTGAAATACGGGTTCTGCTCTTGCCGCCATTCCGGACTGTTCGGGTTCGGCAGGCCTTGTCTTACCAGGCTTTGCCCATGGGTGTGTCTTGTTTTTGAAGAGAAAGCAGGAGGGAGCCACCCATTTTGTGGGTCCATACGCTGTCCTATGGTGAGACAAACTCTCTGCTTTTCCCGGTTTCTGAGCCATGGGCTTGAACACCAAGCAGTGCGAGGTGGTCAATGGCATTTGATTGGCCGGCATACCTTCAAACCTGGTCGGTGGTTCGATACATACCAATAATCAACGCTGACAGGCGGCTTTTGGAAGACTGCATGCAGTTCTCTTGAAAAGGCCATTTTATGTCCACTTCCATGAACCTTTGTCCGTCCGGAAAGGTGAGGTCCCCTTTTAGACGAGTACCTTTTGTTTCCAACGAAAATTCGGCAAGCCTAGGTGGCCCTGTACCTGCGCCTGGTGAAGAACTGCAACCTGGAGCTCCTGGCCAACTCAGTCCAGCAGGAGCTGGTGCCCGCGTGAGAAGTTTTTCGCCTCGCTCCTCTCCGGGCGCCAAAGGGCTCCGACGGCTCCAAAGACTCAGGGCGCGCGGAAAAGGCCGAGATGCTTTTGCAGGCATCAGGCGCTGTGGTTGAAGGGGGATGTTGGGATCATCACCCGCACTCACAAGAGGCACGTACTCGGTCTAGGGGTACTCCAAGTGATTTGGTTCACTTTAAGGTTCACTTGGATCATGCAAACTGGTTGGTGTCAGGACGGCACGGCTTTTCAGCCGAATTCCCGCGGAAACTGTTGCCATGTTGGGGGGGGGGCTGCTTTTGGCGCATCCCCACTAAGTCAAGATATGATAGGGGGCGAAGGAGGCGTCGGGCGGAACCATCTGCAAGTTACGAATCAAAGGTTTTCAATGGCGAAAAGGCCTAACTAATGTTCCTTTTTGGTTGGTTTATGTTAGAGAGATCCGCTGCCAAAATGGGCGACAAAAGCAGCTGAGAAAAATGTGAGGTTGACCTACCCAGTGATTGAATTACCATTGCAGCCAGGATTCTATCCCCCAAGTGTTGTGTGTCAAATGGAATCGCTGGGCTATTGCTTATTGATACTGCACCAGAAGCTCTTGTCATCCATGCACCTAGATTCTTGTCCTATGAATTATGGCGCAAGCATTGGATACCAGCTACAGTACGGTAGGGGGCCAATTGGCACACATGGGTCCAAACAGCCTGTTTTTCAAATTGAAGTGGTAGTGGGTGTGTTTCCAGCTCATAAAAAAGCAATCCAATTCAGACACTTGGGCTTTGTTTACAACCATTACGAGCGTATTATTTTTTTTTCTCCAGCTTTGAGTTGGCAACAGTTGCCAAGGGTCCATGGCCCAAAACCTGCCACAGCCCTTCCCGTCTAACAACCCCCCCCCGTCCGCCAGGGCCCGGACCCGTCAGACCCCTTCCTGGCGCGCTACGGCGGGCGCCTGCTGGGCGGGGCTGAGGCGCCCGAGGCCGCGTCCGCGTCCGCGGCAGGCGGGCCCGCTGCAGCCGCTGGGAAACCGTCAAACAAAATCTGGTTGTCCAGATGAGAAGAGAGGCGCCTTTTTCAACAGAGCAAAGCCCTGCAAACGGAGCTCTTTCAAGCAGCTCCGCATAGGTACTTTCTGAACAAGACCTTTCGACTCGACTCGGCATGGCTTTTGAGGCGAATTCCCGCGGAAGTTGTTGTCGGGCCCTGCTTCGGGGGCATCCGAACTGGATTTCCTTTCATTAGCTGAACCCACAAAAAAGGGGCTGCCCTTTGGTTTCTCTTGAAGGCACAGACAGAGTACCCCAATCACTTTTATTTGGAAGGCTGGCCCCTGTGCGTCTAATGCATATGTCTGTACATACACATATATGTGATCCCTTTGGACCCCTGTGGCACTGTAGCTGGTTTCAGTTGCTTACATTCAGCCATTTGGGCCGTCTTTGGCCGACGTCGTTGGTCATTGCGCAGAACTGCGAGTCGGACAGCAAGCCTGATTTGATGAAGAGGCAAGCAAGCAGATGGAAGACTCACACATCAGTCAAAGCCAAAAACACTACTCACCCACACACGCATGCTGTCGATATCCTTTAATGTCAAATTCAGAACGTCAATATCAACATCCTGCGGTCCTAGGTCGGCAAAGTGGCTCCCTCGTTTGAACAACGTTTGTTAGACCCAAAGCAGGTCCATCAGGTAGCTGATTTGACGGCTGGAATTTCGATTGGGCTAAAGTGTTAACCGTAGGTGGTCGCTTGTCTTGACTCTTTGTAAGTATCCACTTGGGCCACCATTTTGGCTCAAGTGGACACTTCCCTTTTGTCTTGGAATCTGAAATTTCTCATTCCCCTCCTATCAAAGCCATGTACACCCCCGCCTATGCTGGTGCCGCGGTTGCAGAGGCTAAGGCGAAGGCGAAGGCATCCATGGCGAAGTACCTGGCAAGCCTTGTGAAAAAGGAGGAAGAAGGTTGGACCGTCCTGGCGGCTGAGGTCCCTCAGGCACCGGACGAACGGTTCTTCTCCAGCGCCGACGAGCTGGAGCAAGCCCCACTCATCCCAGCCAAGCGTAAGGCCGAGGACGAGCTGATGGCGGACTCCCCTGGGGTGGCGCAGGTGCCGAAGGCCCTGACACGCCCCCCAGGGGCGTTCCTGGAGCTTCTCGACCCTCCAGAGCCGGATGTTCCCATGGAGGAACTCCTGGCGGAAGACGAGGAGGAGCCCCCGATGGAGGAACCCCTGGCGGAAGATGAGGTGGACCCCCCGATGTCCGACACCAAGTGGCAGGGACGCCAGGACCTTATGGAAAAGGCCAGGGCGCAGGTGTCCTCGGAGGGGGATGAGGACCCCGCAGCCCCCCCGCCAGGGGGAAGCGTCTTCACCAAGGCCCTCAAAGTCTCTGAGGGCCTTTACCAATTCAGTGCGGACCAGATGGCGGGCGACTTCCCGTGTTTTGATGGGACCACGGCCGCCAGGCTCCGACGACTGCAGGCCAAGGATGTCCAGCGGCTCTTGAGAGGCTTTGAGGGCCCCCAACTCAAGCAGGGGGGCCTGGAGCGCGTGGTGGAGGCGTTCTACATCGCCAAGATGAAGTATGAGCATGAGGCCCTGCTCAGCACCCCGGGACAGAAGGTTGGCAAGCGCGCTGGCCTGGGGTATGGGGGCCTTGAGAACCGCCCCCTGGGTAAGGAGCCCACATCCTGGATCTGCCCCTGCTGCACCATGCCCTGGGTGAAGAAGGGCGCCAGGAAGTGTATGGGGTGCGGCAAAAAGACGGAGCCCATCGACACGGCGTCCAACTTGGCCACCCTGGAAATGGCGGGCACGCACTGGCAGCTGACAGTGGATGACCAGGGCAATGCGGTCTGGACGGCGGCCCGGTCCGCAGGTGCCGATGGCCCTGACACGGACCGGGCCCGCGACCTCAAGCTCAGCGCCTCGGTGGATGTCAGCGAGCTGGCCACCGACCCAATGGCATGCGAGAACCTGGACCAGGCCAGCTTCTCGGATTTTGTCCCCTCCTCGGTCCGGGCGGTGATCAGGAACTGCCCCATGGAGCTGGACGAGGATTTCCTGACGGCCCCAATGGGGGAAAGGCCCCCGTTGCCGGGCGACAAGGAAGAGGGCCAGGAGTGCAGGGCCTTCCACCCGTCGGCAGTGAAGGCCTTCAAAATCCAGACCCGGCTCAACGCCACCACCATCGCCCAGGAAGAGGCAAAGAAGGCAGACCAGGTGGCAGCGGTGGAGCGATCTGCGGCGGTCCTCCACGAGCTCCAAGGAGGGGCCATCGATGGAGGAGGCGATGGGGGACAACTCCTCAAGAATTTGGACTTGGACCTTTTCCGCGAGAAACTGCTGGATAAGCTGGGCGCGGACTGGGGGAGGCCCACACTGGAGCTCCTCCAGGCCCAGACCACTGCGGAAGAGGCGAAGGCAAAGCACCAGGCCAGACAAGCGAAGGGCGCCCTCGAGACCAGAATGCTCGAGCCCATCAAGCCTCCATTCAGTGCGTGGCCTAGCGAGGTCCGAGTTGCCATTGAGACAGGGGTCTTTGAGCCGACCACGGCATGGAGGGATTTCAGCATGGACGACCTCACGTCCCTCACGGACTCCTACCTCGAAGCCAAGGCGGTCATCTCGCTGGGTAGGAACCCCTTTCCGGGGCCCTCCTGGCAGATCTGCCGGATCTGGCGGGGATCCCCATTCCAAAGGCGGGGGGCTCTGGTGCGGCGCGCCCAGGTGCCGAGGGCCCTGACAGGCAGCCCACCATCCCCCCAGCTTCGGGCTCTGGTGCGACGAGCTCAGGTGCCGAGGGCCCTGACAAGCCGTCCGCCACCCCGGGGGGCCTGGACACCCAGGACCCGGAGGTGCAGCTCGCGGTCCTGCGCTGGATGATGAGCAAGCGTGTCGGAGAGGTCCGCATCTTTGCGGGCCGCTGGGTCCGACGACCGGGGCCCGTACACGTCCCGGACTGGGCCAACAACCTCACCAAGGTGAATCCGGAGGCGCTGGAAAAGGGTACGCATCCCAGGAACCACCAGGCGGGTGGACTCCCATGGGCCAGGTACTCCGTTGAGGAGCTGAACCAGCAGGCCAAGGCGGGGGACCGACCATACCCCGAGGACCTGCGATCCATCTTCTGGGCGGCCCCCCACGATCCGGAGGAGGACTTCCACTGGGCGCGCCAGATCTCGTCCTGGACACTCCCAGGCTTGCTGGGGATGTTTGGTCACAGCTTCACTCTGCGCCAGCTCTGGGGAGTCTGGGAGTCTCTGCCATTGCTTCAGGGCCCTAGACAGCGGGGCCCGAAGAACAAGGCCCAGAATCAGATCCGCCTGGAAGGCTGGGAGACCCTGAAGGAAGATGCTCGGTGCTTCCTGAAGGAGGAGGGCCTTCCGCTTCCGCAGACAGGACCGGAGTGGCGCCTGGTCTACCGGGCCATGGGCAAGGTCCTTGCGGCCCGGGCCTTCCTCACGGACACCCCGGCGGAGGTAATGCAGCTCCCGGTCCAGGACGTGGCGGACTCCAAGGAACAGATGATCCTCCGGGCGGTATGTGATGAGCGCATATCGGTCCCGGTGGAGAGTCTCCAGCAGTTCCCAGAGGTGTACCAGGCCCTCATGGACCGCATTGGAGGCCCGGGGGCCCTGGCGGAGGTGAAAGTCAACTGGCGCTGCAACACGAAGCAGTGGTGGGTCGGCGCAGTCCCCGACTCAGTGGCCCCCTCCATCTACCGCAAGCTTGGCTACACCAACGACATGATCAAGCTGATGGGCCTGGACCCCTCCGCCCCCGGGTGCCGGACAGGTGCCGATGGCCCTGACATCCGCCCCAGGGGAGGAGAGGGCGATGAGGGGATCGTCTACCCCCCCATCACATCGGACAACGTCCACGGCGTGGTGGGCAAGGAGTACAAGAAGAAGAACTTCTCGGCAGAGACGAAGCACGTCTTCTGGGCGCACATGGAGTGCGGCCTGGTTCTGAGCTCAGTCACCCCATGGGAGCTCA